GTTATTTTCGGCTTCATTTATTCGACAATTCAAACAGTCGACGATTTCAAAAAATCTCAATTTATCAATATCTTTATGAATGAAAATAGAAAAATTAAATTTTTAAATATAATTTGTTTAAAAGGTTGTAGAGCACCACGAATACTGAATTTTTTGAAATCAAAACGAAAAATAAGTGCAGTAGGTGGGATTCCAACACCTCCAGCCGTCATTGTTCGTATCCCACTGGGATTAAAATTAACGCACTGAAATAAAGCAGTTACTGTATGAAAGACACATACTACCCATAAAAATGTCCCGTACAATAAAAGTAATAAAAAAACAAAAAAATCACAAGTACATACATACATAGGTCTTTATTCATAATATAATGATACATGATTAGGCGGACTCGAGCCATAGGCTATTCCACTCGACCTTACAAAATTAATATTAAATGCAAAAACAATAAAATAATAAAATTAACTTAGAGATGCAACAGCTAGAAAAAAATAATAATGTAAATATGTAATAACCACAACAAAAAATATATAATACACACAATAATTTAACAGTAAATATTAGGAATTAAGAATATATATCTACAAATATAGGCGTCCCAGACAAATTAGTTAAGTAGTGGTAAGTGGTTAGTACCTGCTAAAATAAGTCTGATTTTGGCAAGTAACATACCTTTAAGAAAAGAGAGGGTGGGTGGGCTCGGCTAATACTTGACTGATTTTGGCGAATGATATACCCTCTAAGAAAATAGGTATGATTTGCTAAAGCCATTCTTATCCTAACAAATACTAGCCCCACCCACCCACCCTCTATTTTCTTGGAAGATATGTCCTTCGCCAAAATTACTCTCATCTTAGCAAATACTAGCCCCGCCCACCCACCCTCTCTCTTCTTAGAGGATATGTTAACCGCCGAAATCAGTCTTGTCTTAACAAGTACAACCCCCGCCCACTCTTCCTCTATTTTCTTAGAAGATAATATGTCATTCGCCTAAATCAGTTCTATCTTAAAAAGTACTGGCCCCGCCCACCCGCCTTTTATTTTCTTTGAGGGTATTTCGTTTGCTAAAATCAGTTTTGTTTTAGCAGCTACTAGCTAGGATAAGACTAATTTTATCAAATGATATACCCTCTAAGAAAAGAGAAGGTGGGTGGGCGGGGTTAGTACCTGCTAGGATAATACTGATTTTGGCAAATGACATATCTTCTAAGAAAAAAGAGGGTGGGTGGGTGGGGCTACTGCTTGTTAAGATAAGACTGACTTTGGCAAATGATATACCTTTTCAGAAAAAAGAGGGTGATTGGGCGGGGCTAGTAGCTGCTAAGATGAAACTGATTTTGGCAAATGACATACTCTCTAAGAAAAAAGAGGGTGGGTGGGCGGGGCTAGTACCTACCAAGGTAAGAGTGATTTTGGCAAATGAGATACCCTCTAAGAAAAGAGAGGGCGGGTGGGCGGGGCTAGTTCCTGCCAAGATAAAACTGATTTTGGCGAATGATATACTCTCTAAGAAAATAGGTATGATTTGTTAAATCATTCTTTTCTTAACAAATACTAGCCCCACCCACCCACCCTCTATTTTCTTGGAAGATATGCCCTTGGCCAAAATTACTCTCATCTTAGCAAATACTAGCGCCGCCCACCCACCCTCTCTTTTCTTAGAGGATATGTTAACCGCCAAAATCAGTCTTGTCTTAACAAATACAACCCCCGCCCACTCTTCCTCTATTTTCCTAGAAGATAATATGTCATTCGCCTAAATCAGTTTTATCTTAAAAAGTACTGGTCCCGCCCACCCGCCTTTTATTATATTTGTATATATTTCGTTTGCTAAAATCAGTTTTATCTTAACAGCTACTAGCTAGGATAAGACTAATTTTATCAAATGATATACCCTCTAAGAAAAGAGAGGGTGGGTGGGCGGGGTTAGTACCTGCTAGGATCATACTGATTTTGGCTAATGATGTCTCTCTACGGGTGGGCGGAGTTATTACTTGCACTAAAATAAGACCAATTTTGGCAAATGACATACTCTTTAAGAAAAGAGAGGGTTGGCGGGCGGGGCTAGTTCCTGTCAAGATGAAATTGGTTTGGCAAATGATATACCTTCTAAGAGAAAAGAGGGTGGGCGGGTGGGGCTACTGCTTGTTAAGATAAGACTGACTTTAGCAAATGATATACCTTCTAAGAAAAAAGAGGGTGGGTGGGCGGCGCTAGTACGTACCAAGGTAAGAGTGATTTTGGCAAATGAGATACACTCTAAGAAAAGAGAGGGTGGGTGGGCGGGGCTAGTACCTACCAAGGTAAGAGTGATTTTGGCAAATGAGATACCCTCTAAGAAAAGAGAGGGCGGGTGGGCGGGGCTAGTTCCTGCCAAGATAAAACTGATTTTGGCGAATGATATACCCTCTAAGAAAATGGGTATCATTTGCTAATGTCAGTCTTACCTTAACAAATACTAGCCCCACCCACCCACCCTGTATTTTCTTGGAAGGTATGCCCTTGGCCAAAATTACTCTCATCTTAGCAAATACTAGCCCCGCCCACCCACCCTCTCTTTTCTTAGAGTCTATGTTAACCGCCAAAATCAGTCTTGTCTTAACAAGTACAACCCCCGCCCACTCTTCCTCTATTTTCTTAGAAGATAATATGTCATTCGTCTAAATCAGTTTTATTTTAAAAAGTACTGGCTCCACCCACCCGCCTTTTATTTTATTTGAATATATTTCGTTTGCTAAAATCAGTTTTATCTTAGCAGCTACTAGCTAGGATAAGACTAATTTTATCAAATGATATACCCTCTAAGAAAAGAGAGGGTGGGTGGGCGGGGTTAGTACCTGCTAGGATAATACTGAATTTGGCAAATGATATACCTTCTAAGAAAAAAGTGGGTGGATGGGTGGGGCTACTGCTTGTTAAGATAAGACTGACTTTAGCAAATGATATACCTTCTAAGAAAAAAGAGGGTGGGTGGGCCGGGTTAGTAGCTGCTAAGATGAAACTGATTTTGGCAAATGACATACTCTCTAAGAAAAGAGAGGGTGGGTGGGCGGGGTTAGTACCTGCTAGGATAATACTGAGTTTGGCTAATGAGATCTCTTTACGGGTGGGCGGAGTTATTACTTGCACTAAAATAAGACCGATTTTGTCAAATGACATACTCTTTAAGAAAAGAGAGAGTTGGCGGGCGGGGCTAGTTCCTGCCAAGATGAAACTGATTTTGGCAAATGATATACTTTCTAAGAAAAAAAAGATTGGGCGGGTGGGGCTACTGCTTGTTAAGATAAGACTGACTTTAGCAAACGATATACCTTCTAAGGGAAAAGGGGGTGGGCGGGTGGGGCTACTGCTTGTTAAGATAAGACTGAATTCAGCAAATGATATGCCTTCTAAGAAAAGAGAGGGTGGGTGGGCGGGGCTAGTACCTGCTACGATAAGACTGATTTTAGCAAATGATATCTCTCTTAGAATAGAGAGGGTGGGTGGGCGGGGCTAGTTCCTGCCAAGATGAAACTGATTTTGGCAAATGATATACCTTCTAAGAGAAAAGAGGGTGGGCGGGTGGGGCTACTGCTTGTTAAGATAAGACTGATTTTGGCAAATGACATACCCTCTAAGAAAAGAGAGAGTGGGTGGGCGAGGCTAGTACCTACCAAGGTAAGAGTGATTTTGGCAAATGAGATACCCTCTATGAAAAGAGAGGGCGGGTGGGCGGGGCTAGTTCCGGCCAAGATAAAACTGATTTTGGCGAATGATATACCCTCAAGAAAATAGGTATCATTTGCCAAAGTCAGTTTTAACTTAAGAAGTACTAGTAAAGCTCACCCACCCTCTATTTTCTTAGAGGATATTTCATGGGCCAAAATCAGTCTTTATCTTAGCAAGCACTAGCCCCACGCACCCTCTCTTTTCTTAGAGGAGATTATGTCATTCGCTTAAATCAGTTTTATCTTAGCAAGTACAGTAAAGTGTACCTGACAAATTTTTGACAAATCCGAGTCGAAAGCTGTTGTATCAGCATTGAGTTTTAAATTGATTGAAGACACAGCTTTAACAAGATTCACAAGATCTTTATTTATATCACTACACGCATCCTCTACTAGGGAAGGTCGAAAGTGAAGCAAAAGTTGCGTATCGTCAGCAAACGCTCTTTTTTACTTGATGAAGGCATGCTTAGCAATTGGGCAGTATATATAATAAATAAGATGTGTCCTAAGATTGATCTCTGAGGGACACCCGATATAAGTAAGGCTACTTCAGATTTTCCTGACTCAAGCACAACTTGTTGATAACGATTGGAGAGATATGATCTAAAAAAATTGGTCGTAATTAAATCAAAACCATAGTATTAGATCGTGATCCAGCGTATCAAAAGCCTTGGCGAAGTTTAGAAAGGTAGCTACAGCTGCATAGTTTTTATCAATGGAGTCTATACAGTCACCCACAAACCTTTTTTATTCATAGAATGAGCTTGAAAAGTGAGAATAGCTCTTTTTTCTCGTCTAATTGCTGCTAATGTGAGATTTCTTAATCTTTTATAGTAAGTCCAGTCGTCCTTGATTGAAGGCATTAATTGATATTCAAGTCGCCACTAATGATAATAATTTCATATTGAGGTATCACATAGGACAGAAAATTGTCAAAGAACTCAGTAGTATCGTCTAACTTATCCTAGTTATAATTTTAAGTTCACTGGTAATAAGGGTTTGATCAAGCTCATTGGATGTTGCTATTTTGCTAATCAATCTTGCTTTATCATACAAATTCCATAGTTAACGACGAAAGTGAGATAAAAACCAACATCATCTACAAAAACAATCTTGCTCTCTTAACACAGTTTCTGGCATATAGACAACATTAACCATCACCTTTAACTTTTCCGGTCTTTGACGAACTATCCCCACGTAATCATTCGGAGAACTCCTACTGTTTAACAAAAAACAAAAACAAACTCTACACTATCGTCTTGACTTCACCTTTAACTCTTCCAGTTATCACCACCTTATCACATCTCAAAACCGCATACATAACGCATTCGTGCAAAATATTTTCACTAATCCACAATGAATTTTTCCGCACTTCTTTTCGTTTCGCTCTTCGTGTACGCTCAGGTAAGTAGTTTCCTCTTTTGCTTTCATTGTCTTATTTGGTTGCCCACTAGTGCTACCCACACGAAGAGGCCATCGACGCCTGTGAGCAAAAATCAGGGGTTACTAAAGAAATCCTACAGGGTCTTAAAGCAGGAAAATACGATAACCCAAAACTAGCGGCCTATTTGTTGTGTGCTCATAAGGTGATTGGGTTTCAAAATGAAGCAGGGGAGTTACAGGCCGACAAAATCAAAGACCATTTGAAGAAAACGTCTCACACTCAGGAGCAAATAGAACGGTTGGAACAGCTGTGTCTGCACAATAAGGAGACTCCAGAAAAAACGGCTGCAGAGTTTACAAAGTGTAGCAATATTTGTTTACATGGAAACGCAAACTGAGAAAAGCGATACCGGAAAATGTTTATTATTTAGTTTTAATAAATAAGTAAAACATGTAATGTTATTAACTGTCAATCATATTTGTTTATCTCGTGAAATTAATTAACATAACATAAAATCGAACAAGTTGAGCTGAAATTATGTATTTTCAAAGCGTGTGATGGCCAATATTTTTTTGTTATTGCTTTTATGAATTGATCACAAGTTTATAGTCCTTTGTTGAACGATAAATGGGTCTTGAAACATATTTTGAGTGACTGATGTATTTTATGGTGGACATGCGTAATAAAACATAATTTGTTGCACGCTTTTGTCTCAATGTACGTACCCTTAAATTCCAAGTTTAATGACAAGTTGTCTATATTAAAACGCATATTCTTAAACCTTATTATTACGACAATATCGCAAAAGCATAATTAGAGGTTGTTTATCACATGCACACCACTTTTTCACTTTAACCATTTAGTACAGTTATTTCCAGCTGCTTGGTTTTTAAACAAAAAATCTAACTGTAGCCTTGTAAAATCACTTTTAATCACACGTCACGCTTATTCATTTACCGGAAGCGGTGTTGAGTGATTATCTGAAGAGACGGCACTGGCTGTAGAAAAAATCGTGTGCCAAGAGGTGACACAGTTTAAATAAATCATTACCTTGAAACTATAATATAAACTAAACTCAAGTAATGAGCAGATTAAATAATAACTTCGAGATGGTAGCAGTTCAAGGTTTGATCTCTTTGTACTTTCTAGATTGTTGCGTACAATTACGTCAGAGCGAAATGAAAGAAACATTATGAGGATCTTTTACACATAATTTAATCCACAAAAGAATTATTTTTCATTGTGAGCTCTCCGGATTTTCGGGAAAATCTGTCCACAAATAGTAAAAAATGTGTTGACGTGAATGTGAAAACTAGTCTCCGAAAAATCTAAATCTAAAAATGGAAAAATCTAAAATCGACACCCCACTCAGAAGGAGCACTGTCACGGCCAAAGTGGAGAGATATGTCTTAAGTGGGGGTAGAAAGCGTAAAAAACAACTTGTCATTAAACTTGGCTTTTAGGGGTACGTACTTTGCAAAGTCTGAGACAATACCATGCAAAAACCACGTTTTATTACGCAAGTCCACCATAAATTACACCAGTAACTCAAAATGTGTTTCAAGACCCATTGATCGTTAAACAAAGGACTATAAACCTGCGATCGTTTCATAAAAGTAATAACAATCAAAATGTTGCTCATTACACGCCTTAAAAATATATAATTTCAGTTTAACTTGTTCGATTTTATGTTACGTTCTCAATTTGTGTTTCCGTATAAATAAATATAGCTGCACTTTATAAACTCTAAAGCCGTCTTTTCTGGGGTCTCCTTATTATGCAAACACTGCTGTTCTATGAGTTGCATTTGCTCCTGAGTGCGACATACTTTCTTTAGATGATATTCAATTTTGTCAGCCTGTAACTCCCCTGCTTCGTTTTGGAACCCAATCACCTTATGAGTACACAATAAATAGGGCGCTGCTTTTGGGTTATCAAATTTTCCTGCTCTAAGATCCTGTAGGATTTCTTTAGTAATTCCTGATTTTTGCTCACAAGCCTCGATGGCGTGTTGTTGTGGGTCACACTAGTGGTCAACCAAATAAGACAAAGAAAGTATTAAAGGAAACTAATTACCTGAGTGTACACGAAGAGCGAAACGAAAAGAAATGCGGAAAAATTCATTGTGGATTACTGAAAATATTTTGAACGAATGGGTTATGAATAGTTTTGAGATGTGATAAGGCGGTGATAACGGGAAGAGTTAAAGGTGAAGTCAACAACAAGAAGAAAGGTCAAAAAATTAATAGCGTAAAGTTTTATTTTGGACTTAGAATCTTTGGTTAAACAATAAAAGTTATGTCTATAAACAAGGAACTGTGTTAAGGGAGCAAGATTGTTATTAATTTTTTTTTTATTATGTAACATTTAAAACAAATTACATTTAAAAATTGTTTAATTTCCATCCAAATTTACAAAAAAGGACTTTCGCTAATTTTCTAAGAATCAAAAATTCATAAAGCTATTGATAAATTGAGATTTTTTGAAAAGTTATGTCGTTATTTTTATTTACTCGATTCTGTTAACATTGTTGAATAAATGGAGCCGAAAATAATACAAATCCAAATCCAAAAGCGCAAGTCTTTAGGTAACTTCGAATGGAGCTCGGGATGGGACAGTGGTTACAGAAAAAAATTCAGGAAGTTGTGACTAAATTTTCTACTAAGGAAGATACATTAAAAGAGACAATTCTAAAACCTGTGAAGTATCAAATTTTATGTTCTTTTAAATGGCAAAACGGACCTCATGCACCTCGCTAAATTCAAAGCTGTCATTTCTGGAGTCTCCCGATTTCTCAAACACTTCTGCTCTGCCTGACGTTGTATGTTCTCATTGAACTTCTTCAGATAAATCTTTATTCGGGGAATCTTCAACCGGCCTGAGTAATCCTGTACTCCCAGCAACTGATTGAGACAGAACAAATACTTTCCCATTACTGGGTTATAAAAATTACCGTTTTCAATATCTCTCCTAACATCGTCAGTTAACCCTGCTACACAGTCAGTTGATTCGTATGCACACTGTAACTGACTAAATAAAAAAAAGAAAATGAATATGAGACTAAGTACCTGACTGTACACGAAGAGGGAGACGAAGAGAATAGCGATGATCTTCATTTTGGATCACCACAGTTGATAACTACCGAAAAGAGGGGTCATAAAAACTGGATACCTAATAGAGTATTTCACTTGTTATTAAACTCACCTTTACTAGACAGCGATATCTACTACCTTTGTAAAAGACAAAACACGGTTTATATTGCACACCGACTAAATAGCATTGGCAAATCGAAACTTAATTCAAGCTACATTTGATATTCAACAAAAGACTATAAAGTTTCGTTGACTACGAGATGGTAGTAATAAAAATATTAGGAGAAGTTATAAAGACAACCAAAAACATTTAAGTTGTTGTTCTTGCTTAATCACTTAAAAATCATCGGTTGACACCAGATGTGGTGATGCGTCGACCACAAAAGTAAATCTGGTGTTCATGTGCATCGAAATTTTAAAACCTTGTGAACGCCAGCGTTTTTAGCATGACGGGTGCTAACCACAAAACAACGACGCTGTTTTCACAGCTCATAACCTTGAAGCAGAATAATTGTTTCAAACCAGGTGAGAATATTTTAATTTAGGTCTGAATGCGAGTAATAATATAAATTGTTTGATTTTCTGAATTTTCTATTTTTCAATTTTTTCATTGTTCAGTTTTACGATTTTTTAAATTTTAGATATTTCTAATTTACAATTTCTCGATTTTGCAGTTTTCGATTTTCCGAATTTTTGATTCATCGATTTCGATTTTTGACTTTTCGCTAGTTCGTATGTGCAATTTTTGAGATTTTTTATTTCCGAAATTTCGGATTTTCGATTTTTCCATTTTTTGAAGTTTCCATTATCGAAAATTGAATGAACCAATATTTGGAGAAACGAAAAACTGAGGATTCGTAAAACCGAAAAATACAACATCTAAAAATCCAAAACCGGAAAACATAAAGATCAAATTTAGAAACATCGAAACTGAAAAATCCAGAAATTGCAAATTAGAAATACTTATCTAAAATTTGAAAAATCGAAAAACTGAATAATGGATAATAAACCGACATTTGAACAAGCGAAAAACCAAAAATCCGGAAATCGAAAAATAGAACAACTAAAAACCCGAAATTTCTAAAATTGAAGCTTTGAAAAATCGTTAATACAAAATATCGAAAAATCCAAAGCAAAAACCGAGGAATCAAAAATTCGAAAAATCGAAAATTTGATGAACGAGATTTTTGAAAAATCGAGAAAATGAAAAAACGAAAAGTAAAGAAATTCAAAATCATAATTTTGAAAAATGAACAAATCGAATATCGAAAATTTAAAAATCGAAAAACCAAAACTCAAATTTCTGTTTCATCAAATTTTCAATTTTTTGAATTTTCGGTATTTCAAATTTTAGATTTTTCGATTTTTCAATTTTTGATTTTTCGAATATTTGACTCATCGATTTCAACTTTTGATTTTTCGATATTTCGTATTTACGAATTTGGAATTAGCAATTTTCGAAATTTTTGGTTTCCGGTTTTTCGACTTTTCCAATTTTAGATTACTCGATTTTCGGTTTTTCGATTTTCCAATTTTCAATGCGTTCATTTTTCGAAATTCGATTTTCAATTTTTGTACTTTTCGTTCTTTCAATTTCTTGATTTTTCAAATTTCTGTTTCATCAAATTTTCAATTCATTGAATTTTCGATATTTCAAAATTTAGATTACTCGATTTGATATTTAACGAGTTTTTGTTTCTTCGATTTTTCGAACATTTGATTCACCGATTTCTCAAATCTAGGTTCAAATTTTGGAATTTTCGAATTGCCGATTTTTGATTTTCGATTTTTAATTTTCGATATTCGATTTGTTCATTTTTCAAAATTATGATTTTCATTTTTTTACTTTTCGTTTTTTCATTTTCTCGATTTTTCAATTATCTCGTTCTTCAAATTTTCGATTTTTGATATTTCAAATTTGTTATTTCTCGTTCTTTCATTTTTAGATTTTTCGAATATTTGATTCATTCGATTTTTACTTATGATTTTTCGATATTTCGTATAAACGATTTTTCAAATTTTCAATTTTAGAAATTTTGGGTTTTTAAATTTACTAGTTTTCGGTTTTTCGGATTTTTGGTTTTTCGCTTCAAATATTGATTCGCTGAATTTGCGATTTTGTTATATTCGAATTCAGTTTGTTTCCTTTTCGTTGTCTCAACTTTTATTATCTATTTTTGGATTTTTTGAATTTTCGATTTTTCAATTTTTCCATTATTCAGTTTTTCGATTATTCAAATTTTATATATTTCTAATTTAGTTTCCGGATTTTTCAATTTTCGATTTTTCTAATTTGAATCATCGATTTCAACTTCTGATTTTTCGATATTTCGTATTTACGATTTTCAATTTTCGAAATTTCGTATTTTCGAATATTCAGTTTATTTAATTTCGTTTCCCGGATTTTTCAACTTTTCAACTTTTCGATGTTCGGTATTTCCTTTGTTGTATATTTCGATTATCGGATTTTTGATTTTTCTAAATCTCGAATTTATAATTTTTGATCTTTCTGTTTTCCGATTTTGGATTTTAGATGTTTTATTTTTCGGTTTTACGGATTTTCGGTTTTTCGTTTCTCCAAATATTGGTTCATTAAATTTTCGATAATGGAAAATTCAAAAAATGGAAAAATCGAAAATCCGAAATTTCGAAAATAAAAAATCTCAAAAATTGTAGATGCGAATTATCGAAAACTCAAAAATCGAAATCGATGAATCAAATGTTCGAAAAATCGAAAACAGAAAAATCGAGAAATTGCAAATTAGAAGTATCTGACATAAAAAAAAACGTAAAATTGAATAATTGAAAAATTGAAAAATAGCAAATTCAGAAAATCAAATGTATAATAAAATTTGAAAAATTGAAAAATCTAGAAACCGAAAACAAAACAAATCATATTCGAATATCATACAATCGAAAATTCGATGTACCAAGATTTGAGGGAAGGAAAAACCGTAAATTCGGAAAATCGAAAATTAAAAAATCTTAAAATTCAAAATTTGAAAATTCAAAACTTTTCGAAAAATCTTAATTTATCAATATCTTTATGAGCTTTTCGACTTTTAGAAAATTACCGAAAGCCCTTTTTCGTACAATTACAGGGGAATAAAAAAATAAAATTTTTGAATATAATTTGCTGAAAATGTTGCAGATAGAGTGGGATTTTTCGATTTTTGGAGTTTCCGGTTTTCCGATTTTCGGTTTATCGATTTTCCAATCTGCGATATGATCATTTTTCGTACTTCGAATTTTCAATTTTTTTACTTTTCGTTCTTTCAGTTTCTTGATTTTTCAAATTTCTGTTCCATCAAATTTTCAATTTTTTGAATTTTTGATATTTCAAAATTTGGATTTTTCGATTTTTCAGTTTTGGAATTTTCGAATATTTGATTCATCGATTTTGAATTTTGATTTTCCGATATAACGTATTTACGATTTTTTGAATTGTCAATTTTCCAAATTTTTGATTTTCGGTTTTTCTAATTTTCATATTTCGACTTTTTCAATTTTAGATTACTCGATTTGATATTTATCGAGTTTTTGTTTCTTCGATTTTTCGAACATTTGATTTATCGATTTTTCAAATCTTGGTTCAAATTTTTGAATTTTCGAATTTCCGATTTTTGGTTTTTCGATTTTTAATTTTCGATATTCGATTTGTTCATTTTTCAAAATTATGATTTTCATTTTTTTACATTTCGTTTTTTCATTTTCTTGGTTCTTCAATTATCTCGTTCTTCAAATTTTCGATTTTTTGAATTTTTGATATTTCAAATTTGTTATTTCTCGTTCTTTCAGTTTTCGATTTTTACTAATGATTTTTCCATATTTTGTATAAACGATTTTTCAAATTTTCAATTTTAGAAATTTTGGGTTTTTAGATTTTCTAGTTTTCGGTTTTCCGGATTTTTGGTTTTTTGCTTCAAAAATTGATTGGCTGAATTTTCCATTTTGTTATATTCGAATTCAGTTTGTTTCCTTTTCGTTTTCTCAACTTTTATTATCTATTTTTGGATTTTTTGAATTTTTTAT